CGCTTTGCGCCGCCGCCGACTCCGGCCGCCGCCGCCGCCGCCGCCGGGCTGGGCACGCCGTCGAGTCCGAGGAGCGTCTCAAAGGTGACCTGGATGGGGCGCGAAGCGAGGGCAAACTTGGCGAGCGGGTTGACGACAATGAGCCAGATGGCGGCGCGGTTGAGCCAGACGGGGAAGCCGGGCGTGGCGGCGAGGTCGCGCGTGATCTCGTCGGAGACGGCGCGGCCGAACATGGCGTAGCCGGCCATGCCCATGGCGAGGTAGAGGAGCGTGGCGGCGAGGTAGGCGAGGTTGAGCATGCGCGGAAACTGGCGCGGGTCGCGCATGTCGTTGACGAGCGACGGGATGACGGGGTGGCTCGAGAAGCCCGACATGATGAGGCCGAACGACAGGGGCACGCGGCGCCACTGCGGGCCCAGGCTGGTCGAGGGCGCCGGGTCGAGGATGCTGCCGGGCGAGTGGCGCTTGTAGAGGCCGTCGGCGACGACGACGACGACGAGCGTCACGGTCGAGACGATGCCGACGACCGAGATGGGGCTGAGCCAGCGCAGCGGCAGAAAGACGGTGGGCAGCACGATTGCCAGGCCGACGGCCTTGAAGGCCGCCGAGGGCAGCGCGGGGACGATGGCGGCCATGCTGTCGCCAAACAGGATGATCAAGGCCACGCTGACGGCCCACAGCTCGAGGCAGAAAAACAGGCTGACGAGCCAGCGGGCGCGAGGGCCAAAGGCGTAGCTGCCAATGTCGGCATAGGTGCGCAGCGACGGCTCGCGCGCCATGATGGCCGCCAGCACCTTGCCCGTGTAGTTTGTCAGGGCGCCGCACACGAGGAAAAGGCCCGCGCCGCCGATCCAGCCGGCGTAGGAAAAGGCCAGGGGCAGCGCCAGGATGCCCACGCCGACCAGGGCGTTGACGGTGTTGAACCAGGACTGCAAAAACGTGCTGCTGCCCGGCGCGCCGCTCGTCGGTGGCGTCGGATCGGCCGCCGAGAGCGCCGAGGCCAGCAGCGCGCCGTCGGCGTCGTCGAGGTCGAAGTCGGGGTCGTGGTCGTCGACGGCGGTGCTGGCGTCGGCCGAGGCCGAGGCCGTCGAGAGGTACGACGAGCGGTGGCGCCGTTCTCGCCCGTCGAGGAGGGGCGTCGATTCGGCCCGGTCGTTGGGCGTGGTGGTGTCGGCTCCGTCGGCAAACGGATCGCGGAGGGCGTCGTTGGTGGTCGCGGTGGTGCCGCCCGCGGATGCGGGGCCTGATCTCCGACTTCGGCCGCGCGGCGTGTTCCTCTGGACGGCGTTGGGCGGCAGGGGCTGTCCGCGCCACTCGTCGTCGTCGTCGTCGGCGCGATCTCGCCCTAGACCCGCACGACGACGGCCGTCGTACTCCTCCTCGCCATCACCGAACTCGTCGTCGTCGTCGTCGTCGTAGTCGTCGGACATGGAGTCGATGGACGCATCGCCGGCAGCGCTCGAGGCCGATGCAGAGGTGGTATCGGCGTCGTCGTTGAATCCCTTGCCGGCCCAGTGGCGCTCGATGAACGAGGGGGATGTGGCGATGTTGTCGCCGTAGTAGGCCTGGGAGCGCGAGTAGGACCAGACGAGGTCGAGGCTGCTGCGCCACGGCGCCTGCTGCCCCTCTGCCTCGCCTCGGCCGCGGCGCTCGCGCT